AAAAATATAGGGTATTATTACTCTTGAGGTGAAGAGTGCTGGCTAATCACTCATGAGCAGCCTGCAATCATGGACAGATGCAAAACATAGACTTGTGCAAACCATAATACCCTGTTCCCCTCCTCCTAAACAATGTTCATTGTATTTCCTGATTGACATGCATTGTAGATGGGGAAGGGGAAGGGGAAGGGGAAGGGGAAGGGGGAAGGTCTATGTAATGTCATTGAGCGAGTGCGCTGCAAAATAATGTTAATTTACCAAATTTAAAAAAAATATATGTCAATTTTTTTTCCAAAATCAGTATTTACTTGTGTGATTCATATATGCAAAAGAAAAACTACTGGTATACAACGTTTAAAAGAAACAATAGATCATTTTACCGTCGTCTACTGAGTGACCTGGCCTTTCAATGGCAGCGAGGATGGAGGTGAGCTAGTTTTAATACAGACCTCAATGCTTTTGTTGTGTCAATTAAGTTGTTTTAATGCTAAGTGCATTTGAAAGGCTAGGTCACCAAGCAGGCAACTGTTAGATAGTCTTTTCTCATCAAAGTGTATCAAACACGATAACCAACACATCGACTCAATGATGGCTATTCATAATATAAACATTGTTTTTTGGTGATTTTGTTGTTCCTTCTGCTCCAAAAACTAGTTTCATTTTTCCAAAATGGTTGTTGGAAAATGCAAGATCAAACATTTCTTGTTCACCTAGCATTTTTGCAATCAGTGGCCCTCTTGGCAGTACCAGTGTGTTTGTGCAGGTATGGGCATTTGGAAGGTAGCAAACAGATTCTTCTGTTTCTGTGGACTGGATATAAACAACAATGCTATGAAATAGCGAATTAAAGGAAATTACATAAATGTATCTTAGTTGTCTAGTAAATTGTTAGCTTCTCATCTCTGAAGTTTTCAGGTAAATAATAAGAACTTGAACTTTTTTTTCTTTAACATGTACATAGTAATGTCAGGAACTCAAAAAGGAGTCAACAAGCTGTAAACAGTATCAATGTTTTTGAAGGGTTTCCATAACAGTAAATCCAGTCTTCATGTCATATGACCTTTAAATCATAAGTACATTTTAATTGCCCTACCTTGTGGAATGTTTCTCCATGGGTAAATGTGATAGATGGATGCAAGGGGAAACCTAAAACTGGCTCCTCTGCTGCCCCTGTTACAAAAACTAGAATTGAACGTAAGCTCAATGGATGCCTTCTCCCACTGGCTACTTGACGCACATACTTGACAAAGCAGGCATAAACTTTCTTTTCCTTTTAGCAGGCTGTAGACCCATCCGGAGAAAATACAGGCTTCAACAGTTTTAATAGCATTGCAAAGGTCAAACTAGCATTGCTGGGCCTCAGTATATGAAGCAATATCGGCTTGCTTCTGAAGACTCTGACAAGTTCAAAGACATCAGTCCCCGCTGTAAATTGATTATGCACTTGTCTTCTTCTTGTTTGTTAACTAGTCTATCAGTTACATCTAATGCATGGCAGTTGACCATTTTAAAGAAGGGCCACGCCCATCATTACTCCTACAAAAAAGTACTCATCTGAGAGAAACTCCCGCAAGCCATTAGCAAAGTTTTTCTCTTTCATGGCATGGTTCAGAAGGCGAATCCATTCCTTTCTGGGTCCTCCCAGATCCCGAGCTTCTTCCCCCATGAAGTCTGCCTCAAACCTCTTACAAAAGTCATTAATGGATTCAAATTCTGCAAATGTTGTTGTTAATATGTTGGAGCGATCAACTGTAATATAATTAGTTTCACCCTCTGGTAAATTGCCACTGTCAACAATATCTAAGGGCCTGCCCTTAATTACTTGTTGCTGCAGACACTTAAGAATTTCAACAGGGTCAGATAGTGAGTGTTTCTCTATTTCACCTAGTAATTCATCAGGGTCCTTGTCAGGGAGATCACCTGCATAGCGAGGGTCGCTGAGTGCCAAAGTGTTAAGTTCTCCGGATCTTTCTTGGCTGGGCTGTTTATCATCCCCTTCTCCACTTCTAAAGGTATTGACAACACTGAGTACGGGACTATCACTGACAGTATGATTTCTATTTTCCTCTGCTTTTTCCAAATAAGAAACTTCCAAACTACTGTCGTCATCCTCTTCATACAAGAATTCAAATCCTGGCTTAATTCTTATGTACAATACACCTTGACCTGCCATTTTTTTAAACAACTGCAAAACTGTACTCTGTTCCTGGGCCTAGTTCCAGAATGGAAATTTTCTTTTGTCTAACTTTTACAAATTGAAAATCATTTGATCCAATCATTGAAAACTTGCTTTTAGGGGACTCTTTGATCGATTGTGTTATTACCTCATCGTTGTCCCTTTCATTTAATAACAACATTCCATTTGCTATTACTGAGTCCCACTTGATGTTCTCTTGCTCCTCCTCTGCACATTTCAACACGTCAAACTCCAGAACTTTTTACTCCCCCTTACCCTTGGTTTGCTGATGTTTCCTGGGTGCGGACCTGGCTCGTGCTTGTATTTGGCGGTTGGCAAAGACCTTAATCTTTCTGAACTATTCAGTCTTCTGAAAACTGCATTGCTTGAGCTTGCATTGATCATGCTACTAGCAGACCGAAAAACAATGTTAACGAAAGCGTTAACATTGCTTGCATTCGGCCTTGGGCGGGGCGGCCTGTAAATTATCATTCCGGAGGATTCGCGATGCCTCCTCAAACATACGAGCGGCTCGTTGCACGTTACTGTGTTGATGAGACTCATCCATGTCGCCGTGAGACGCTAAAAGTACGGAAATATAACGTAAAATGATCAAAAATATTTCTAAAACTGATCATTTAATTAAACAAAAGCGCGTAATACTCTTTTTTAGCTAGTAAAAGCGCGATGAGGTAATGATTTATCGCCAAATGCCAGAAAATCCACTCGACACATACCTGCATGTGGGCTCACATAGCGGACAAAATGGCGGGAAGCATTGGCCTCTCTGCTTTGGCCGCGCTCGCCCCAGGAAGATTGAATGAATTTCTCGAGGATTGCATTCAACATGTTTTTGAGTGGATTGAATAACTATGTAAATGGAATGGATTGAAACTCAATTAAATATTTCCGTGCTTGGATTGAATAAATATTTCCGTGATTGAGCTGAATAAATATTCACTCTAATTAAATTCAACTGAAAAACATGGTTTTAAATTGAAAGCTTTTTCGGATTGTTTGAATATATTTGTAAGATTGAATTAAATTGTATCACGCCAAAATTATTGGAGTGAATAAATATTTGACTTGATCGAATTTTGCTATAAACGGCCGCGGCGTGCCATAGGAAACATCAGAACAAAAATACACAACGGTGCATCATTTTATTTGTAGAAAATAAAATAAGTCTAACAATCATGAAGATTCTTAACTTGCACTGAGAGGCCTCAGGCAAGTTGTGCCGATCCAGGCCCGGCCTACTTTTATCTATTAAAGCAGGTGCCCGAAAACGGACTCTTGATGACTGCTTTATGCTGGTACCAGGCCATACACACCAAATTGGTACTCTCAATTCATATAAATCCTCACGATATCAGCCTGTAAATACCTAGGTAAGGAAGGCTGAACACGCCTGGACCTGGGATGACCCAACGGCATAGACAGAAAAATTTTATAGGGTTTTCGGCAGATACCCAAAGGCATAGAGAGAAGAATTCTATGGGGTTTTCGGAAGATCAACACTCAAGTTACAATGGGAGAAGGAATTTTCTTCTCAAGATCTTCTGTGAGATCATCCAGTGTAGTAGCAATACAGCAAACCATACAGACAGCCGGCATTATGTTTGAAGTTGATTTAGCAAACTCTACCAAAAGGTGCCTTGCACTCCCGGTTCTCGTCTGCCATACTTGACGCGGGAATTTCATTTCTCTATTTGGGTAAATGCTCCGCCGAACTTCTGTTGGCAAAGGATTTGTTAGTATATTACTTTTTCACTCTTTTATTTGTGACTGTGCTAAGTACCTGCCGGGAGGGAACGCCAGTCTTTTTCTGTTGTTGCTGGGTATCCATCCACTTTTAAACCCTTTTTTAGCCAGGACTTCATTTTCCGCGTTCGCCTCGTTGGGCTCTAGGTCGTTGCCCTTCCCACTTTTGTGTTTCCTAAAATGGCTTCACGTTTTTCT